ATATATATATATATATACATAGTTTAGTTTGTTGAGCCTAGACCGACCGGCTGGAATCGGTCGATTCACGATTCACACGCTCGGCCGAGTTGGCTCTTGTACTAAAAAAAACCATAGTACTCTGCGCGACCTGACGTTCGTGCCTGTTTGATTTCAGGAACGAGCAGGCGCGCACGTTGGTTAGCAGTTTTCATTTCGATATAGTATGGCACGTTTCAGGGGTGATCTCGGAGCAGCGGCCGCGGCAACGCGTCCTGTGAATTCTTACAGAGCGACTCGACGAAACAAAGAATATCGCGCGACGGAGAAAAACCGACGATCGTCCGTTCGAATTGAATCGTGCTCGTCGAATCGTGCTCGAAGGACGAGCATGGGCCTCCTCGCTCGGCGAGCGTTGTCGTTCTAGGAACTCTAGATCCAGGACTCGAGTAGGAACAACGTGATCCACGCGAAGAATCGCGCGCTGCTAGAACACCATTGCCACCGCTGTCGTCGATCACGCACCGTCTAACGGATTTCTAGATACCGTATGTTGTAATCGTTATCCCTCCCTTTCGTTCGTCATTCGAAGAGAAGAGTTCGTTTCACACGGTTTGGCGCGACTGGCCGGCGCGGGGCCTTTCGACCCGGTCGGCGCGTCGGCGCATCAGTGAAAACACGAAAAACTCTCTTCGTCGAGATCCTGAGAAACCGATGATTTCTCAGGGCCTCGTTGATTCGATTGGAACAGTTCGTTTTTTACTACTGAGACAGGAGTAATGTCGCGGATGACCTCGCTTGGACGCCCGAGTGTGCTGGAATCGACGCAGAAGACGACAAACGGTTCGCACGGTTCATCGTCGATGTACGTCGTCCTTTACACGTTGTCAGAGTTACCGATCATATCGTCGGCCTTCCTCTTGACACCACGACCTTCAGGATGCTGCTGCTGCTGCTGCTGCTGTTGATGCTGTTGGTGTTGGTGTTGCTGCTGCTGCTGCTGTTGTTGCTGCTGCTGCTGTTGCTGCTGCTGCTGCTGCTGCTGCTGCTGTTGATGGGGATGAAGACCGATGCCAGACGAACCTTGTTGCTGCTGCTCGCTGAGTGTTATCGGACGCTCAACGCCTTGTAGCGTTTGCTGTTGCAGGCCCGTCTGATCCGACGTCCAAGGGGTCCACTCGTCTCAGTAGTAACTGAATTTTCATGGTTGCTGATTGTTCTGCTGACTGACGACGTGCTGGAGAGTGAAACTCAAGGCTCGAGGATCGCTGTGAAGCCTCAGGGCCTGTTCTAATCGCTGCTCTTGCAATCGCAGCGCTTCCCCTGTTAAAACTTTTTATCGTCATGATCGTAGGATCTTGGAGTTCACGAGAGAGAGCTGTGTCAAACTGACCAGACTAGATTTGCGGATGTGTTCGGACACCATGTTTCTGGGACAGACTTTCTTACAGTTGCGAAAATGTGCAGAGTGCAGTTGTGATTATTATTACATGTAAACGTCCGCAGTCTGCCAATGTTTGAACATAAGCGTATGTTCATGCGTCTGGTGGAACGTTTAAATGTCGAAAGTAGAATGCTGGAATATTCGACGAACGAGGCTCGTTCCATTAATCATCTTCCAATTGTCTGGTACAAATTCTCGCGAAACATCCGCAGTCTGCCGATCACGATCTCGAAGGATGAACTTACCAATATCGGGCGGTATGTTATCTTGCTGAGACATCTGCTGGTTCGTGTGATGTCCAGGTATCCCGGAGGTGCTGCCTCCGTTGTGCTGTCCCAAATGATGTCTCACGTCTCCGCCAACCGCGGAACTGGCTGCCGCCGCTGCTGCCTGCGACACCTAGCATCAAAGTACCAGCAACGTATACTCTCAACGTATACTACTGTTTCGCGATAGTGTTGATGACTCGTGAATTCGCGAACAAGAATGAATCGTTCCGTCATAAATTCGACGATTCGCGAGGAAGAAACACACGGTGTACTTACAGCCAGCCTGAGCGCGGCTTCGGCTTGAGAACGCAGCAAGGCTTCCGCCTGTTGCATTCTCAGAGTCTGTTCCGATCCGGTTGCTTGAACTCCCTGCTGCTGCGGCCCCGTTGATCCTTGCGCACCACCGCTCATGTCACCGTTGTTGCCCATCCTCATTGCCGCCGCCAGGGACGCCATCTCCACCGGCGATAAATTCGGCGACACTGAATTCTGCAAACCTGTCGATCATATTGAGCAAGCTGAGGTCTCATCTTCAAATTACGTTAGAGACGGTGTTGCGCGTGTTCGTCGATACTCTCGAGGAGTATCTCGAAGCGTGCTCGATTGTTCGTGATTGAAATTAGCAGTTGAGAAGCAGCAGGCTTCTCTCGCATGTTCGTTTCGATGTCATCTGCTCTAAATCAGTGAACTATCACCCATCGATACGTTCTGAGACCGAGAGGGCACTGTGTGTGTACGCTTGCTGATAGATAAGGAAAGATCCTTGCGTTGGAAAAAACATAATTATAAATCAATCTTTATCGCTGGTAATTAGAACGAGTCAGGCGTATCTCTTCGTCGTCGAAGCATTGTTGTTCTTCGTCGATAAGAGCAGCGGTATCGACGGCCTTGAACGGACGGAGCCTTTCTATCGCGACGATTCCTCGA